GGGGGGGGTTGGGGTGGGTGGGCGCGTTCTAGTGTAGTTTATTTTGAAGATTATTGGGAGGCAAATTGCACCGGATGGCAGTTCGCATTCATTCATATCTTCCTGGACACGCAGCTCACAAACCAATTCAAAGTTGCCTAGCTACGGAGATATTGGAAATGTTTGAATAGTCCTTTTAGCTGCAATGGTAATATCTCATATAATCGAATGTTTGTAGATTAACGCTCTATCTCCACTATGACCATAATTGTGTATGAATGAGTATGATGAGCTGGGTCTTTCTTCTTATCCAAATCAATTGATGGTCACATGGTAACCATCGACCTATCCTTACTGAAGATTCAATCACTTGGGAACGTCGGCCTTGTTTGATTTGGCCTCATTTTTTTCAATTGGTGATTAAAAAATGATTTAAATTAATCAATATCGTCATCAAAAGTCCTATTTTGAGAGCTTTAATTCTACTCCCCTCTCTCTAGGATAGGTCGTAAAGATATTTCACGCCAAGTCATGCAGGGAGTATTTAGCTATGGGAGAATGCAAGTAAGATTCAAATCTTATGCCTTTTCTTCTCATTCTTCGAAGTTATTCCCTCCTCCCTTCTCCTACTATTTTTTCCTTTTGACTAGCTTATTGTGAATCCTGATCTTGTTACCATATGTCTTTGTTATATTTATTGTAGTTGCATATGTTGCATTGTTCTTATAGACTGTCTACTTAGTTTTGGTGCTTCTTTGTTATTTCTGTGTACTTGGTTTTGTGTGACTCAGGCTACAACTTGATTGTTACTTGTCTCTATTGCATGGGTCTCAAAATGTAAAAATGGGATTGCCCCAGGTATTGGTTGCACCGTAATGTTTTTCTTTCATAATTAGTGTTTTGGCAAAAATTTCTCCTCTGCGTAGCAACAAAGGAAAATACACAACTGAAAAGGTATCTTTTAACGTGATTGTCATGTCTGCCGTAATTAAGCCTGGCATATTTCTCCAGTCATTTAAGTGCATTTGTAAGTGATTAATAATTCCATTAAAAATCTCTCCCCCCCTTCCCTTCCCCCCCCCTCCCCCTCCTCGAAGTGGGACAAGGTTTCTATATATATATGCGTATATTCATATCTTGGGATAGTGTGCAATTTTAATCATTCACATCAACGTCATCATTGGACGTAAACCCCATTCCTCCCTCCATTCAATTATTGGAAAATCTAAATGGAAACCACATTCATGCGAGAGAATTTCTGTTATTTCGAGAAGTGGCTGTTTCTTTAATATGAGTCTCACCTCAGGCTCGTCTACTGTTCGTATTGCAACAAATCTGTTCAGTAAAGGTAGATGGAGATCCCGGATTAGGAGGGGGGAGGGGGGAGGGGGCGGGAAGAGTGACTTTAAGGAATTAACACCAATACACAGTGACCTCGCTGTGTGTGCATCTTTATTTCTCTCACAATACAGAAGTAATGTTACACGCAAGCTCCATGTATATTCCCAACCTACGTGTTCCTTTCCCCACCCCCTCCCCCCTCCTTCCCCCTCCTTCCCTCTCATTTCTGAATTTTCTGCCTCATTCCGTACATAATTTATCCAACATTCTCATCCTTGTGTGCGCTTTCAAAATAAATTGAACAAGATAAAATTACTGTAAATAATCCCCTAAATGAAGTGAGAGAGTTGGAGAGAGAGTGAGAGAGAGAGAGAGAGTGATTACTTCCAGCTTCCCAAGCCTATTAAAATAGCTAGCGATAGTAATTAATTAGATAGAAGGAGTGTTTCCCATAATTACTCTTTGCGAGCGCCCATTCCTCCACCTCCCCGTTGACCAGAAATAGCCAGTATCGGCGTTGGAAGGTGCATATTGGTGTCTAGTGAGATCTCAAATTTAGTTGTTGTCACTAGACTGAATAACATTTAAATTTGGCGTACAAGATATTCTCCCTATAAGGTGAATTGTTCGCATGCATTTAGGAGGCAATTCATTGATTTGAAATACGTAGTAGTAGTAGTGGTGGTGGTAGTGGTAGGGTTTTTTCGTCAGTTACTTTCGGGGAAAAACGAGCCCACTCGCTGTCTTTTATCAACAAATTGATTTGTTGCATTATCAAAGCGAGTCCTAATTTCATTTTAGCGCCAAAAATATGTTCTGCTGTTTTCATTACTGCACTGGTTCGCACGATTTTGTACGTGCCAGATAAACGGTCTCTAATTCTATCGAATTAACATCGTGAAAGGTCAACTGTCTTCCCAACTAGCTGCTTTAGGGCGAGCAACATCCACTACCATCTGACAATATCACTAATATGCTGGATTTTACTAATGGGTTCCCAAGTATACTGTTGGGAGATAAACGTGTGTACATGCTTTTTAATTGTTGCTACATTTAGTTAGTCTACATCCAGTCCAGTCGACGAAAACACATCGCCAGTTTGGGGAATAATTTACATCTCCGCCAGAAAGGAAAGAGGGCAGAGAAAAGTATCTTTGAAAATTCCCCCCCCCCCCAAACTATGGCAAGCCTGCAATTCTTTCCTGGCTGCTGGATGGGCTATTGTATTATTCAAACAGCTTCGTCCCTGTTCGTTTATTTGCCGCGCATTACATTATACTCCCTTCTCCCCATTTGATTGGTTACAGTAACTCACTCCATTGTAGCGTTCTAAAAACCATTATTCGTCTTTAAATAGCCTCAACTGCGCTTCAACGTTTAGATACGACGAAAAGTGTGTGTGTGTTGTGGCCTACGCTTGGTGTTTTCCACTTTCAACTAGGTCGGACGTCTACAATATTAAGTCACTTTTACTGTTAGCCTCTGCCCATTTTCCACTCTGAGGTAGTGAGTATTGCCTGGTAGGATATTCAGCAGATGGTATTTTTCTTAAGGGAGAAACATTGTTGATCGATTTCCCCTTAGACTCAACTTTCATGACCCTATCCCATTCTACCCTATCCTCAAATCGCCTTATTGCGATTTAAGTTGAGACTGCAAACCTGGGAAGGGAATGAGAACCGTTCAGATGTTTGACATCTCTATACTAATGTCTCGTCAAACCCATTTGGCATCTCCTCCGTTCTTCTTGAAAGTCAAGTTTATCTTGTGGAGGTGGTGAATTGAAAGTAGATGTAATTCAAGTAATCCGTTAATTCAAAGTTGTATGAGAAGCCACTCCCGTGTATCAACTAATATAATTACTGAAACTAAGCATGCATTTATTTATTCATGGAACATTCTCTAGTATATTGAATCGGCGAGGGAAGTGCTGTTGAGACTGAACCGTTGATGACGCCTTGATTTCCCTGAATCTCTTAGTATACATGTACTTTTTCATTCTCCGTTCTCTTATCTACCTCTTTCTCTGTCTTTTCAGGCAAGACTCTCTTGGCCCAGACTCTAGCCCTGTGTTTGGACGTTCCATTTGCAATCTGTGACTGCACCACTCTTACCCAAGCAGGTTACGTGGGTGAGGACATTGAGTCTGTGATAGGCAAGCTCCTTCAAAATGCCAACTATAACGTGGAGCGCGCTCAACAGGGCATTGTCTTTCTCGATGAGGTCGACAAAATCGCCAGTCGAAGTGGTCTGCTCCACACTATTCGTGATGTTGGTGGGGAAGGTGTTCAACAGGTGAGTGATTGGAGGTAAAATAGTGTACGTTAGAAAATCGAGGACGGGTTTACGCTTTATCCCCGTAATACCTTTAAGCTCAAATATCCCAAAAATCTCACAGAGAACACTTCTTTACTTAATGACATCGTATTACATGGTGGGAGTAGTTTACAACCTTGGGCTTACAAATCCAAAGGTCTTACAACCAGGTGAGATCAAGAATGCAGGTGTTCGGATATTACACTTCTCTCTTCGAAAGCACGTGCATTATAAATGATCGCTTACACAGCTGCCGTGCATTTATACCTGCTTTGCACTTCTGTCTAGCATAGGGGGTGGGGGTGGGGGAGGGGGTGGGGCCTAGTGAATTCTATAGAATGTAGGGGAAACAATTCGCACAGGTGAATAGAATGAATGAATTGGTATACGTGTGCAAAGTGAAGCTCAATTGATTGTGGTGTGCCAGCGTAAATAAAAGTGAAAGATCGATGCTTAAATCGCATAAAATTTGTTGTGCTCAAATTTGCACTACAGAGTTTTTTTACTAAATCAGTTTGCTCTATAAGTATGTTTACAACTAACGAAAGTAGCCCGTATACGAATTTCTTTCTCTTTTCCAATCAATAGCCCTTTCAAAAATATTCCAGACTTATGATTGCAATACCTCGTTGTGGCCACACATATTGATGTTCCTTATCACTAAATTGACCGATCTCTCTAGTCAGTAAACAACACTTTCAAGGTCTTTCAATTGCCGCGATGTATTACATCCATTAGCTGTTTTCAATTTGGACTAACAGCTGTTAAAGTAAATATTAACACTCCTTCACTTCCATCCTAATGATTATCTGCTGTTAATGCTTAAGACGTCCTTCAATGACCTTTTCCTTTTGCAAAATGAGGTTAGTAGGCAGTACTGAGCGAGAAACTAGCTCATTGGTGAGGATGGTAGATTGAACGGCAATCGGTGGGAAGATAGTTTCGACCACTCAAGTGAAAGTAATTGAGAATTTGCACCGAGTTGATTATATATATATAGACCGTCGTTAAGGATTGGTAATCAATTTCCCTTAATGAATGCTTGAGTGCCCATCGAACTTGAAAGTTGCTTGAAATAGGGTTTCTATGAGCCCCCCTCCTAGAAATTTGAAACCATTTTGCCGACCCCACTCTGTTTCCTCATTCGACTATCTTGGACTCTTGAAGTCCAAGTCAAAATCTTAGATCCAAATGATTATTGTTTTTGGGAATAATAAACACACACACACACGCACATTCATACAACTTGATATTTTAATTGGGTTTTTTCCTATTTATTATGATTTTTTAGAACATTGCTCATTGTTCGCTCATACACGTGTGAAAATAAACACGACTTGCTTGAGTGCTAATACTACTTGTGTATTTCTTGTAATTGATTTGTGTATTCTTTTTTCTTGCTTCAAAGGAGGTTGCATTTGAAGCAAGGATAAATTAGTTGGGGGGGGGGGGGGGGTTTGTAAATATTTTGAACTCCGATTTAGTGGTAACATTTTCCATGTTCCATAATTTATATGCCATCGTCTGTCTCGTGGATTTTGTGTTGATATGCCTATTGATTAGGTTGAGAGGTCGTTTTTATAGTGACCGAGATTACAGTTTTGTAATAGTTCCAACGCCTTTGTCATAATATAATTAACTAAATACATTAAATTAGATGTCAATCTTGAAATGCAATTGGGGGAAACGCTGCAGGTAGTCGTTATATCATGCAAATGGATGTCGTAATTTTCTTGAAAAAGTGAAGCCTGATGAACAATTGGTATAATTGAAAGCGATTATCTCCTACAGAGGCATAGATTACAAATTATTGCTCTGAGTAATTGCGTGACGGAATTGTAAGATGATATGACAGTTGAATGGATTCTGAAAATCTGATTGTGTGTAACTGACATATTCTTCTTCCGGCAAATATCGCTCCGTTATTCGACTTATAAAATCTCGTTTTAATGTCCTAATGAAGGATGTATTTCTTCCTTTCGTGCTTGGTGACCATTTTTTTCTTACAGGGTATGCTGAAAATGCTCGAAGGGTCAGTGGTCAGTGTGCCAGAAGGCAAGGGTTCTCGTAAAGGCAGAAATGATTCCACACTTGTTGACACCACCAATATTTTGTTCATTGCTTCCGGTGCATTTACAGGCCTCGATAAAATCGTCGCTCGACGTAAACGCAAACAGGTATGTAAATAGCGCATTCTCCCCACCCCCCCCCTCCCCCCCTCCC